TCTCATCTTCTGCTCATAATGGGAAAGGAGGGGAAAACAGCTCCTAAATGCCCATTGCATTTTAGTAGCCTGCTGCAAATCAAACTTGTGCGTATACCAGTATATAAATAAACATTATCTTGCTCTTCTCCAAGATATAACATAGATAAATATAGGTCTATCTATTTATACCAGAGACGGGTTCTCCAACTGCAGATTCTTTAAAGCAGGAAAGCAATGGACATTTTTCCAAAGGAAAAGCCAGGAAGTGGTGGGTCTTTGGATCTTCTGACCCAATTGAAAAGTAGAGTGAGAGGCACCTCAGAGGGGACCCATCTGTCCCAGCAACCATTTGTCTCACACTCTGAGAACCAATGAGCTATTCACACATGCATACAAAGACAAAGATTGCATAATATTTAGGCACATTAAAAGCTACACACAGGCATCGACGGTATCACATATGCACATAGGCATACTGACTCATGCCAGCAACACAGAACAGACACTTGCCACACTGTGTACTCTGGTCCCATTTCCCCAGGGCTCACAGGAATTCACATTTCTAACTTTATTATGAATTTGACTGATAAATTTATTATGCATCAGACTGATTTGTCTAGATCAGTGTTTTTCAAACTTGGCAACTTTAAGCTGTGTGGACTTCAGCTCCCAGCATGCTGGCTGGGGAATTCTGGGAGTTGAAGTCCACACAGTTTAAAGTTGCCAAGTTTGAAAAACACTGGCCTAGAATCATGAGTGGTGGCAATGTACCACTTTGCTTGTAAAGGGAGAGCTGGCTGAATACTTGCTTGCATATGGCGTCATCTTCCAGGAGGTACACCATTCACACAAGGAGAAGACATACTCTCAATGTGGATGAAGTCTGCAAATTAGGATCCACAGTTCTGAAGTCTGATCCCTTGTCTCTAATCTAAAGGAGTACAGTTCAATGAGAGATATGGCACATGAGCCCAAAGATTGGGTAGTTTGTTTCTAAGCAGACTCATCGTTCACAGAGGGGTGGAGCTCTAAGGAGGCCCATCTGAACCAGACTTTCCATTAGGTGGAATAACATCACCCAGTCTCGCATTCACATCTGAAAGTTCTGTGAATGGCAGTGCAGTAAAGACTTCAACTGGCCAGCAGGCACAAATTAATTGCCACATTTCTTCATTTTGGTGAAACAGCCCATATTATATACACCCTTTCCTTCTAAAATCTGTTTTCAACCCAAGGGTTAATATTACAGGTTTCCAGGTGTCTTAGAATGTATTTATTATATCTTTGCATTTTCTAACCACCCACACAATCTGGGTGGTTAAGACAATATAGAGAGGGGGTGAATTTTTTCCCCCACTCTGCCCCCTTCTTCTGCAAAACATGCTTCTGTAAAGGTCTTCTAATCTTCACACCTGTGCACTTTATTTCTGACTCACTTTCAATAGGTTTCATTGCCAATTACACAGGTACATTAAAACACTCTTTGGAAGAGACAGCATTGCTGTATCATTTGTGGCCATTTCATCCAAATCTAGGGATCGGGTGTATGTCCAGACCGAAAGGCTGGCACAAAATGAGATCTGCAGTTTATGAAAGGATCTGGGTGGAGAAACTGCTTCTCTTGCTTTTAAAACAATCTTCTTATACAAGGTGATAACAAGGATGATGCAAATGTATTGGGATCTTATGCACTCAAGTCATCAAACCCAGGATTAGGGAGTAACTTTTCCGCAATCCCAGCTGCAGTGAATTTACTTCACTCTGGGGTAAGTGGGGCAAAGTGCATTGGCCACCATGCCATGCGCAAAGCCAGCAACGTAGACAGAAAAGACATACATCCTTGCCTACTGCTTGAAGGAGACTTGACTTGTGTGTTTACATATTCATACCTATATCCCCACCTCTTCATTTGTATATAGGTACCAAAACACACCACACTGAATATATGTACTATACATATATTCATAATCACTTATGTAAAACATGTACGCACGCATACATACGCACACATACACACACACACACACACTGGTTTTATAAAGTCAGAATCAAGGGTGGCCAAAGAAATAGCAAATGTGTATATGGGGAATGAGTTTTGGAGTGGAGAAACTGTCATGCCCCGCCACAGGGGAAAAGGGTGAGTATGCGAACAGGGTCTCTCTTGCTTATGGCACTGACAGTGGGAACCCTTTGGAACAGATTCGGAAGGGCAACATTTCAAGGACGGATTTTAGACTGGGAAAAGCAAAGCTAAACTGCAGGAGAATTGGAGGAGAAGAATGGATGTCTATGGAATGGCCTGCCATTGTCTCTCTAATACTTCATTCTGCCCTCTGACTAGTCTGGAGCCACAGCTTGCTAAAGGTGACCTTCCACACCCAAGGGGGTTTCACTGTTTTCTGCAGGTCTTCCTTGCTGTGTCATCACCAGCTCTGATTCTGGATTCCAAGGCATTCATTTTTCATTTTTCGGTCTTCGTATTCTTAATGTATGGAATCCTTCATCATCCACAGCTAAAGTGTTTTGGGCCAGCAGGCATCAGTTCTCGGTCAAACTAGAGGTCCAAGGACCAGAAGAAAATGTTTGGGAGGAGACCATTGCCTAGGAATGCCTCGCCATCGTCTATAGGGAATGCAATGTCATGCGTGGAGTGGTCAGAAGGGAACCCACCTGATCCTGGGCTCTGTGGGTCAATTTAAGGGCATTCTGGGAAGAGCCAACTGCCTCATGAAACAGCACACGCTTCACCAGGTGAGGGACTATGGAAAATGAAAGACATCCAGTGAAGATGGGCTCTCGTTTGACTTAGCTGGGTTATGTTTTTGATTACTGCTGAGGAATTCTTCAATAAAACCTCATCCTAAACCAGGAACAGCTTAATGTGCTGTTAGAAATGACTGAAGGTAATCAGTGTGCACTCTGTTACCAAGCCTCAAGGAGACTGTCCACTGAACTTCTGCATGCTTTAATAGTCTCAATTTTTCTCTGCCTAGTCAACCTTATACAAAAATAAGTAATTTCAACATCACCACTGCACTGAGTATATTTGGATCACCAACACTGAAACTCTGTAAATTACCTACCCACCAAGGAGACTTGTCCAGAATAGTAATTCATGCTGGACGAATAGTCCTCTGGGTCCTCTAGCTGATGTACGTCTCACGCCTAGATACTCTCCAAGAAAATCTTTAAAAATGTAGGAAAACAGCAGACATTGGAATTGCTCTACAACATCCTGAAGAAATGGAATATTCTGGATAAATACATATCCAAGTTGCTATTATTGTGCTATTATGATTATTCTTGTTGTTATATAGCAATTTCAGAATGATAATGCCATAACACATCCACTTGAAATATTAGCTAATAGCTGGTGGTGACCGTGGACAGATTGCATTAAGAATACGGATATTCACTACAGTTTAGTCTGGAAGTGACTGATATCTTAGTCATCACTAGACAATTTGAGAATGACTCTTGATGTTTATAAAGACAGGAGTAAGCATGTCTTTGAAACTAGTGCATAGTTAAAGGTTGCTGGCACAATTGCATCGCTCCTTGTGTCGTCTTGGTCCAATAAATAACAAATACTCAACTATTTCACTAATTGTTACAAAGAGGCACAACATATTAATTTAGAATACCACACTAGTGCCTTTGGCAAGTGGGAAGAGGCTTCATTCTCAACCTCTGCAGGCTGAGGATCAGTTGTGTTCCTTCTGCTTGCATCCTTCCTCCTAAGATCACAGTACCTTCACTCTAGTACAGCCTAACTCAACATGCTGCCTTCGAGCTATATTGAACTTCAGAATATCACAACCCCATGCAGCATAGCCCAAACTAGGATATTCTGCAATGAAAGTCCAACATATTTGGAAAGCACCGGGTTGGGGAGGATCATCTTAGGATACTCTAGTAATAGAGCAAGATTTCTCATGGGGCATTGTGTCAAAGCACAGAGGTTCCTTTGGATAAAAAAACTTGACTCTATTTTTTGGGGGGTGCACACACAATACCATAGCATAGCCAGCAACAGTGGACCAGTACGCTGAGTCAATGTACGTGCTTATGTTGTGCAGGGTGCTTTGAGGTGCATATGCATTTGTCCTTGTAATCAGATGTGGAAGAGCTTTGGGTCTGTTCCTGCATCAGCTACATTCTGTATGTGCATAAGAAGGCCTGAAGATCATCCAAGATCCCTTTTTCCTAGCCAGAGTTCAGATCTGTTCTTGTTTTCATGAAGGAAAGGCCAAGCAAGGGATCACATTCTATGTTCCACAGGCAGCGAGATCCTGTGGCACAGCCTTCTCCCAAACTGATGGCCTCAGGTCAGGAGAAAGCTGCCCAGACAAGGTGCTTGCATAGAAGAGCTGCTCTGTGTGGCTAATGATGCTCCATCCATGAAAGAGGAGCATGGAGGGAAGACGACATGGGGTGGGGTTGGATGGAGAAATAAGCAGAACAGATTTGAAGGCTGTGTTGCTAAGTACACATATTTGGAATTAAGAGCCAGCTTTGGCATTTAATTGAATCAAGTGGCAAAACACTTTATGGACTGTACCGATTTGGGAAGGAGGTGGGAGAGATTGGAATGAAGAAGAAAAATTTCACAGAAAATTAGCATATCAGGTAGAGGAGCCAAGCCAAGGTTTTCTCCCCAACATGCTAACCTTCTTCATGAGAACAGATTTCTCTTTTTTCTTTTCTTTCCTTTTCTTTCTGCTGGCCTGCCTGCCTGCCTTTCTCATGCAAACATGCATTCCTTCTTCCCCGTGTTGCAGTGGAAATGTGAACATTTACTTCTTTATTCTGCTTGAATTTAAAAACTGTCAAGAGCCACACACACACACACGCACACACAAACACTAAAAAAATAAAAAATAAAAAAAAAGGCATCTTACCAGCACCCAGGCAATCAGGAATGGTTCTTAATGGTGCCAAGTAGTTGTCATAATGTATGAAGCAGCACCTTCTAGATGATCCACTGGGATCAGTCTACAAGGGATGGAATCAGTGGATCACTTCTCTACATTGGTGGTCATTATATTTTGCTGTGAAAGCAACAGAGGTTGCAGGCCTTCCTCTGTCTATGGAAGAACACATATCAGTCATACACTACCAAGTTTAGTGAGTTATCAGAAAACAGAGAGGTTTCCTAAACTGTTCATTAATTTCTGGCATCAGAACCCCGAGAGGCTCAATCTATTTCTCAGTCACTCTGGAATGAATGGTAGCCTCAAAAATACCACGTGATGCAGGACTTCTAGAGGATGAACTGCTCCAGTCAGGAGCAGGTTAGCTGAAGGCAGAACCTATATGTCTTCATGTGCAAGGAAATTTAAAAAAATAGAAAAATTCAAAACATAAAGTTCTAATTTGTTCCTGCACCTGTGATATTTCTGAAGGTGTACTGTAGCCCTGAGCTACATCTTTTGGTCCTTGACAAACCAAACTGGATCTGAAGTTAGTCATATGGTTGACCCTGGCATATACAATTTTTTAAAAAGTGTAAAGGCAGAGATGGTGGAGTGAACTGAATTGCATCTGGACTGTTCTATAGGGCTTCTGTGGGTTTAATAAGAATCCTCACTCTTGGAATTTGAAATGGGAACTGCTTTCCTCCTATAGTAATAGGAAGCCCAGGTCACAATTCCTTCTAGCACTCTGACAGTGGCAAATACCCTTCATGTCAATCCCCCCCAAGTTCTAATCTGACCTAGTTCACCCCACCCCTCTATTGGTCATTTTAAAAAACATGCATGCTGGGTCTACCCAAGTGAGTGACATCACATCTGGTTTGGATCTATATTGAAGGCTGTGTTCAGGTTTAATTTGTGTTTAATTTCTTGCATTGTCAGATAGCAGTGAAACAAATTACTCCTTGGTTCCTAGGTGCAAAGGCTGGAATAAGGACAATATGGCCTTGCAACTGTTCTGAGCTAGCAGTAATTCAGAATTTTATACTAGTATGTACATGGTTTTACTGGATGCCACGATCACTGTTTTCTAGGCTTAAATACACGAGTATCTAGAGTTCTGGATAAGACTGTAGTGATGCTCTTGCTTTCCTGACAACTTGGTGCTGAACTGCTGAAACTTCCATTCCTTTAGTCACAATAAACCAGGTTGTTGCAGTATTGTCCACACTGAGATGGACACCGTAGCCATCTATTTGCTAAATCTTGCAAATGACGCTCAGCACGCTCTTTCTGAAAACAGGACTGCGTCGGTGCGCCCACTCTCTCCCAGGGTTGCATCTCACATTTTGTATCACGGAAGCTGTCACTGAGAGCGCCTGGAACATCGATTCACAAGAGTTCTCAAGGACGATGGCACCCCTTGATATCTGAGGAACTGACTGAGTTGGTCCCTTAGATGGGTCATCAGGCTTAGCTAGCCCTGGAACTAATGCAGATTTCTGCCAATGGAAGGAGAGGAGGCTGGTCATACCAGGGTAGCAAAATCTGCTTATGGAGGAAGGATCTGGGGACAAGGATGCAGCAGGTGAGTAAATTGTGCCCTGAGAACTGACTCAATTTTTTTTCCAGGTACCTAAGAATGAAAACTTTGACGTTTCTGAAAAATCTGAATTAAAAAACAAACAAACAAAAACACCTCTTCTTGGAATCCATGCGCTATGCTGCCCTAAGGACCGCCAGCACATGGGTTTTCCCATTTCATTTATGGAAAAGAGAAAGATCAGCATTTGCTTATGGTATGTATAAACCTTTCCTTTCCCTCAGCAAGGACTGGTGATCTGAGCACTCGCTATTGCTGTGTGACGTTCAACAATGGGGAAAAAATGTACTAGACTGTGGCCTGAAGGTAGTGCTTAATATACTAGTGTGAGTACTAAAGTATTTCATGTTTTCTCCTACATCTGTGCATTGTCAACGATGGCCTGACAAAGATGAATGCTCGATCCATGGCTATGCTCTCTCCCAAGCAGGAAAAGAAGACCATGAGCCATTCCTTCCCACAGGGTTAACCGCTGAGATGAAAGGGGAGAAAAATCTGTGGGGCAGGCAGGAATCACACAGTTTGGACCATGGTGCCGTGGGAAGGACAGCGTGACGACAAGGCCCCTGGATGAGGCCCAGAATATTTGAATATTCTGGGTGGTACCCTGGTGCCTAGCAAATGAGTAAAAATGGATGAAGAGATGGATGCCGAACAACAAACTTAGATTTGCTGACCCAATAAAGTTGTTTTTATCTATAGGTAGCTGGAACATGTGCTGTTATATCCACTGCATGTACAATTTTTAAATTATTATTATATTATTATTAATATTATTTTTTTGCTTTAATTTACAACCCAAGTGTGCCCCCGATGGAGGAGGCCAGTACTATACCAAGAACCACACAACAAATTATAATCATTATTTTCTTCTACATTACCCAAGAAAATCCATGGAGCAAGACAGAGAAAAGAGAACAGAAGGAGAGAGACAGAAAGAGAGAGAGAGAAAGGGGAAAAAAGACAAAGAAGTATTAGTAATGGTTTGCTACACCCAAGCCTTTGGATAAAATATATGAAGACTGGTGCTCAGAAAGGTGTTCCATCATGTTACTATGACAGAGGCACCATTCAAGCATGCAGGTTGGCTGGGTTCACACAACACAAGTAACCTGGTAGCCATAGGAGGAAAACCCACATGGACATTTATTCTCCATAGTGCCTGAGGGTAGGTCAAGAACCTATGACAGGAAATTTTACAGAGAGAGATCTAAATTCAAAATAAGGAAGAATTTCCTGACCATGAGAGCTATTAAGCTATGGAATAGCCTGCCTCCTAGAGCCATGGTGGCAACATCACTGGAGGTTTTCAAATAAAGGTTGAACAGCCATTTGGGTGGGATGTCAGTGGATTCCTACCCTGAACAGGACCATTTACCTCCAAGGTTGCCTCCAACCCCATGATTCTAGGATTCTACTCTAGCAGTGGATGATCATAAATGGCAGCCAAATGAAGAAGGGTCATCTTTGATGACTTCCCAAGTCTTGCAAAAATGACTGGGAGACCTTTACTTCCTGAATCTCTTTTTATACTAAAAAAAAAATTAAGAGAATAATTTAAAATCCATGATGACCCAATCAGGGTTGACCCCACCATGGATGGAGTTGGAGGAGGCTATGCACCTCACCTACCTTCTACACATTTCCCCCTTGGGTCTGCAAGGAGGGGGTTATAAACAGAAATACAGATTCCTAGAGCAGCACAGTTTTGTTAATCCTCTTCTGCCTGTTTGCACAGTATGACTAACCAGGGAAGTTAGTTTAGAGAAAACTATCCAAGGTTGTTTAGGGTTAAAACTAACTCTAATCCTACCACTGACTGTGTTTAGCCATTTATACAACATACTCATATCTTGACTCATTTAAGCATGTCATACAAACAAGGCTGTTCTGTTCACAATAACATTAAAATATGGTTTAATACAGCCTTTCCCCAACTGGTATCCTCCAGATGGGTTATCCTCCAGATGTGTTAGAACGACACCTCCCAGAATGTCAAGTTAGCATTGCCGGTTGTAAGAACTGTTCTTACACATCTGGAAGACATCAGCTGGGGCAAATTGGGGGAGCGGTCTACATGAACAAGTATGTACCCTTTCCTCTCCCTGCTCCTAAATAGCCAGAAATAAGAATAAACCCGAAAACACTTCACTTCAGCAGATTCCTGGCTTGTATTGTATCAGCTACAACTCATGGTTTAAAAATGGCTCAATAAGCACACAACAGACCAACCCCTTCTCCTTCTCCCCCACCTTGCTTTGCTTAGTGATCTAGAGGCCTGACTCTACAGAACAATTCATGCCCAAGATATAAAAAGTGAATATTCCCCCCTGTACATATTCCATACCGAGGTCCGTTGGATTACAGTCCAAGTTTCTTTGTTTCTCACCATATTTTTCCTCCTTTCTGTTTCCTTGGCCTTTTTTTTTGTCTTCTGCTCTTTCCTTAATCTTTTAGCCCTCTCACAGGCCTTATCTTAAGATCACAGCTTCTTAAGTGAAAGTACCATTGATGGTTATTTTCTTGTGGTCCCCTTTTCTGCCTAATCAATCTCCCTCCCTGTCTTCTTTTGATAACCAGTTCCACTCACTCACCCTTCGAGCCTTGCTCTGGTATTTTACAGCTTTCTTGGTGTCAGAGACGGCTCTTTCCACATAATCCACAGAGTGCTCAACATTGTACTCGATGCGGTCAATCATCTCACCCTGAAACAAAGGAAAAAGGGGTCCAGGTCATGCCAGTAGTACTCTCAAGTCAGGATGGGTTGATATCCTCAACAAGTATAGCAACAGCCCTCAGAACGTAATCTTAAAGACATTAAGATTAAAGACTGGCCCCAAACCATCCCTAACCTTGACAGCCAACTGGGAATCAGAACATGGAAGTCCAATCCTTTCTATAGAGTTCATTCATTACGCTGACTTAATGGCTTTGCTTCACACACGTTAATTTGAACCCAAAGGGACAGAAGCGTTATGTGCTGGAACATGGCACTCTTTCTCTCTGTTTTTTTTAAATTTTATTTTCAAAGCTTACTCTGGATTTTTCTTCTCACCACTGACTAGTTGCAGACCTCCCCACTCATCAGAGAATTGAGGGCAGAGCTTTCCAGCATGTGTGGGCATGTGGGGGGAAGAGAGAGAGAGAGACAGGAGCATTGCTTCCAGGAAGTATTGCATTCTGGGAAATTAAGAGAGGTTGATGGTTATGACTCCAAACCACAAGTCCACAGTGAAATTTTTCTGCACTGGTTTTGGCTGACAGGGGCCGGGGAGGAGGGATGACTACAGTCCCCAGTGACTCCATTTTCTTTGTTTATTTCATCATTTGTGCCAGGAATCTGCAAATTAATGTTGTCCTGTATATCTTTTCAAGATCTTCCAATCTATTCCCTGTCACTCTTGTTTTCCCCACTCCACCAGCGGCAACTTATTCTGTACCCATCTACCACACTTACTCCTCACTGAACTCTATGTATGCTTTTCTGGGCCTGTTTCCAAATCTTTCTTGTACTTCTACAAACTTTTGGGTGCTTCCAAACCTGCTAATAATACCCCTTGCCCACAGATAATACTATCTTGGATACCTAAGGACCAGCAATTTTTGCAAACTGCCTCCCCTTAGAAGTGGGAATTGGCCACAGGAGTGTGGGTGGTCAATGTATCAATCCCTCACACATATGATTTGAAATAGGTATCCTACATTCCTGGAACAGCTTACCAAAAGGCACACAATTAAAAATACATGTGTGACTTAGATTACAAAACGACAAAATTAAATAAAATAATAGCACAGGACAAGAAAGAATCCAAATAAATAAAAACAGTACTTTAAAAGTGTTAAAATGATTTTTAAGAAGCAATACTTTAAAGCAGTGTTTCTCAACCTTGACAACTCTAAAATGTGTGGACTTCAACTCCCAGAATTCCCAAGCCAGCAACATCTGCTGGGGGAACTTGGGGGGTGTGGGTTTCCAAACATTTAGTTT